TGTAGAATATGCTCGGGACATGTTATCTAAGAGAACAGAAGCATCTAGCAAAATTAATGTCTGAACAAGCAAAGATTTGTGAATAGCTTTCTTGCACCTGAGAACTGGCCTGACACTCGCCACTTCACAAAATAAAAAAAGCAGGTGTGTATTACTAATTTTTGTCTGCCTCTTCATTAAACTAAATTTTTTTTGGAAACATTTTTCTTCCATTTTGTTTTAAAATAAACATGGCATTGTTTAAACAAAGTAAAAAAGCTTAAAAACCTTCCCCCTGACAATTACATACTTAATGCTTCTTACATTGGGTCTGTGCTCTCTGTATTTCTTCAGAAGAGTTTTACATCCACTGATCAGTGGGGCTTATTAAGACTTTTTTTTTTTTTCCCCATTATATTATCCATCCTTCTGTGAGTTCTATACCCAAATATCTTTCCTCTTGTCATTTGGGATAAAGTCCCAGTCGTAGCTTCTGACTCCTCTTTTTCTTGGCTGGAGTTTCCCTTTGCACTGAACTTCGTGGTTTGAGACCTTTCCCAGGTAGGTAACATCTCATGTTCCTGGGACTCCTTACCCCACTGCATCTATTTCTGTATTTTGTATCCAACTGGGTTTTATCATTTATTTGAGGGAAATTCATTCTTTCATGCCTTAAGTTTCTCATCCTGGGTCTTTCCTTACTGTAAAGCAAGCATATGCCTACGATCAGAAGCACACACAGCAACCAGCATGACTGTGGCTAAACCCTATGCCCTTGAGGCAGTCCTGCTCTCACCAGCTAGCAAAATTCTCTCAAAAAATAACATCGTATTATTGTACTGGATCACCTACCCTTGGATCTGAACTGGGATTCTCAAGAAAAACTAAGGTATATGGGAAACTGAAGCATCACACAATGCAGCCAGAGAGGTATGACTGTTACAGAATAAAGTAAATAAAACAGGGATCGCATGCAGTGGCACTATAGCCACAATGAGAGAAGAGAACAAGCTAAGAGGCACTGGTAGAAACCACCTCTTCAAGAGCCACCACCCAGCTGTACCTGGCAAACTCTACCTCTTCAGCTCTGACCAGTGGCTTAAGACACAATTACAAGACACAATGACAGACCTAAGGAAAAATGACTTAATTCTTAAAAATTCTCGATTCATTACACAGAAAGTATTTTAATTCTTGAAAAAATACACAATGGCTCTGAAAAAACTCCCGAGACAAAAAGTTCCTACCAAATTTAAAGACTGTATAAAATCAGAGAAATTATGTGGCGTATCAACTTGAATACCTGGATGCAACTTACAGTGCCACATCTGGAACCAAGAAGAGAATTTGTTCCCAAGCTTAACAAAGATTGTTGTTGCTGCTGTAATTATCAGAGGCAAATACAACCTCAGAAAACACGTGCCCCTGCAACCTGAACTACTGCACTGCCTGTATTAGGTTTTATTCTCATTTCTGCATGTTCACGTACACTCAGATCTCTGATGATGCTCATTGCAATAGTTTGACTATTAATAATGAACTTCAGGAAATGAAAGATGTTTGTAGCTTTGAAGATTTGAACACGAAAAATCTCTTATTCATTAATATGACGAACCTCCTTCACCTGTGACTATATTTATATAAACATGTACATATATGAACATATATACACATATTCCCCCCTTCTATTTTGTAGTTATTGAATAAAAGCCCCCATGTTGTTGCTACACATGATGAAGCAGCAAATGACGAAAAGAAAGAGGAAACACAGGCTGGCATTCATACTGAATGGTATTTAAAAAAAAGAAAGAAAAAAAAGAGTCACATTCCAACTGAATGGCCCTTTTACATCTCCAGCCCCATCCCAAGTGCTGCTATTTAGAATCAGCTTCACAAAAATGCTGTTCAAAAAAGAAGCTTTTGACTAGAAGTCCAAAATAATTCTAAGTTAATATCACCAGGTTTTATCTATACACACGCACAGACACACACAGAGTCTTTACCAGGCATCAACGACATTTTAACTGCTCAGAGAACATGCCTGATAATTCAGAAAATGGCATTTTAAAACCTCGTATGTGTAATACTCCATTAAACCAGACGATTGTTTGCAATTTTGATGTTACAGTGATCCAACTGGTTAAAGAAACAATACAGTTAATGCTTCAAAATGACAGCCAGTTACCTTTAAGTTGTTTTTAAGTCAGTGAGAGTAAACACACGATAACAAAACTAGTGTATTTTATAGACTAAAAAACCAAAATAGAGGTAAAGTTTCTGAAGCTTCCCCTACAGCAATTATTGAGATTTTTTTGTTTCATTTTTGTTGGAATGGTCCCACCAAAAGCAAGTAAACTTAAGAAACTGCAGAAAATACAAATTTTGTGCTAAGAATCTGACTTAAAATTATCTACTAGGTTTTTCTGTAGAAAGGCTCTCAGAAGCACAGTTAATGCATATGCGTTCAGTTTATGAAGTGCACAGAGTTCATGGCAAGAAATAATCTGCTGTAGACAGTAAGAATTTATGTTCCAAATCAAACCACTCCAGACTGTTCCTTTCTCCTCTCTCTAAAATGCTACCGAATAGCACAGCTGTTACAAACATGATATTCAAACCCAAGAATACAGCAAACATCTATTTATCTGCCATAGTTTTGCTGGTATTAAAACATATCTAACGCTTTTGGACCCTCTGCTAAAACTATACTGCAAAAACAGCCGATAAATATCACTGTTTCTTAAAAGTCTTAAACCTTAGTCTTTGACATCTCTGCAAAATTCCAGTTCAGTATTAATCTAGTATTCACTGCAGTGTAGTTCTTTCATTATTATTACAATCATGACTATCCTCAAACCCCAAGTAATTTTTACATTAAGGTTTACTAGGGATGCTTTTACACAATAAAAACATCTCAGCTGAATAGACAAGGAGATAGTTCCAAGTATTTTCCTTTTCTTTATGCCTTCAATCAGTCTGTTATTTTCAGCAGAAAAGTCTTTTCCCCCCCTGCCTTTAAACCAATGTAATTAAAAGCTTTCTGTCATTCTGAGAGGAAAAGGTTCAGAACTGCTTAAAGGGACCTTCTGATTTCTTCACGGCAGCTCTCAAGCAGAATTTTTAGTCAAACCACATGCTACCTACAGCAATGGCGTCCAACAAAAATGGAGAGCTTAAAGTGATAAAACAGGGGTAATTAAAAAAAAAACCCCAACCTCCAGCATTCACTTCTGTTGACTTATGCCTGGCAACATAACAGCATTAAACAGAAAGCCATTTATCACAACTTACCCCCCCTTGAGCTATCTCTTATGAACAATACAATTGCTTTGAACCTACTTTCACACCCAAATTACTGAACTGCTCTATGATACTTATATTGACTCCACCGCGATTTGGTATCAAGCTGACTTCCCAGACCAGAAGTCAAAATCTTCTTTATGCACAGAGCAACACAGAGGAGAAGAAATGCTTCTCTTCTCCATCTGCAGAACAAACCGCTTCCCTCACTTGCATTTCTATCACCGTTCCTCAAACATGGCTACTCCCTATGTTTGCCAAGAGTTCTGGAAGCTGGGATAAGCCTTTACAAATACATCCAAATCTTAACAAATACAGATGATCACTTTGCTATCACTTGCCATCTCCCATCTACAGATGAAATCCCACACACCTTTGTATGGAAAGAGCATAAAGGCACAGACACAAAAAATTCTAAGCCAAAGAGCATTAAAAAACCCATAGGCTTGGAGGATCACCTAAATATTTTATCATTTACAGAAAGCAGTACTAGAAGCAGGCCATTTGAAAGAAAACAAACACTAAGGGGTTTCACAAGGGGGTTTTAAACATATTTTGTCTTGTTTCATTTTAATTCGCCACTGCTTCTGACAAAGAAGCACTTTCTGCCTATATCGCGATGTTAATTTGCAGCTTGATTTTTCAAAGTGGGGTTGGAATACAGTTACATGTCTTCGTAACTTATGAGATAGATCATAGTATTTGGTAGCTAGGTTTTTTATACTATTATGAGTAAAGCTCAAAAGTGTGTCATATTGTTGCTGTTAAAACAAAATACAAGTTCTTGGAAGAAGCTAATGCTATAGAAAGCAAAGCAATTATGCTCCTTGTTTAAGAGGAGCTAAAAATATTCAAAATATCTTTACTTTGGTCCATCACAAGACAGGAAAAGGTAGGAGGAAAAGGCAAAAAGAACAGATATCCCACTAGAATTTATCCTATGTTTAACCTTCAAGAGAAGGTCATGGTTCTGTCCTGCACCACAAGCAAACATAAATAGCCCCAAACAGCTGCTGCAGCACGTGATCATCAGGAGGCTACATCGGACAAGTCTGCGAAAGCAGACTTCTTTGATCAAATTCTGGCCTCAACTCTCTTCCCTCAAGGTGATACAGTGCACCTTCTATCCAAATTCAAGCTCAGTCTCAAAGCTGAGCAACCTCCATCATGTTAACTCAGCATCCTACTCCTTACACCCAGGAAATACTGATGGGGTAAACTTGAAAAGCTCACACTCCTTCCCATATCGCTCGAAAGTAAAGCTAAGGGTCCATCATTATAAAGTTAAGTACAAACAAATGTACAGGCTTTTACAGGGTTAAGTTACAATTCACCACCTGTCTACTAGTAATCATGTCAATCATGCCGTAACTCCACAGACTTGTTTTGATCTCGACTTTTTTTTTTTTTAAACAACGATGACATTCAGTAGACTTTTGTTTTACATACTCAAAGTTCAGCATGTGTTCTTTAAATGAGAAAATGCTCTCAAATAGTTGGTAACACACAGACAAGCTGGTCCTGAACATATAGAACAGCTTTGTGTTGTGGGGTTTTTCTGTCTTTATTTAAAAACATATACTGCTATTATTTTTCTTCTCCCTTAAACAAGCTCTACTGTACCAAATGCATGTCAAAAGAGACACCACAGCTCTACAACACAAGTGTATTTCATGCACTTTTTTTGGTATCAGATTTAAAAGACCGAGAAGTAAACGTACCTGTGTTCTGTGAGAACATTTACTGCTGATGGATGGTTGGCACAGTATGCAAGGTATAGATTTTTCATTTGTGGCATTAAATTTAGAAAACATCCTCCAACCCTCTGCTGAGCTTCAGGCAACCTAAAAACAGAGTAATGAATTTGAAATTAGTGTAATACTGACACAGAAATAAATTAAAAGCCTGGAAAAATACTGGGGAGTTTTGTTTGTTTCTGTTTTGTTGGTGTGTGGGGGAGGTTTTGTCTGGTTTCGTTTTTAATGGACAGATTTCTGTGGTCACTGACCAGCAATCAACACCCTTCTCTTCCTTCTTTACAGCTTCAACCCTGTAACTGTCAGGCATGATTATGCCACCACAGTATAGGCAGAATATGGTACATACCTATAGGATGGTCATTCAGCAAATTTTTTTCAAGAATTAGTGGCAATCAGCACCTTCTTTAGGAGTTTTATTTTAGTGAATATACCTACTGGTTAGAAAAGTTTACTATCCACTTCTATACACCATGCCAAATCTTAAAAGCAGTATTTCAGCACTTAGATGAAAACCGGATGGAGTAGCAACAGGATTCCTTCCCTCTACGCTACACCAGCAGAGTTGATAGGCTTAAAATATTCATTAAAAGATCCAAGTACCATATTAAGCTCTGATAGCACAAATAGAAGGCAGTTACTGTGCAGTAACAGCTGGTTTACACGCAATTGTCACTCATCTTGCTTTTTAAGGGTCATAAAACATTTTTATTTTGGTTTGTAACCAGGGCAAGAGTGCTGCTTTACCACCATCAGTACAGAAATACTTTCTATAACTCATACTTTCTTCATCTTTCATGCTCAAAAGCACCACATTTGCTAAGCAGTGAAGGAAAATATCACAATTCGGTTCAGAAGAGCTTATTTTGTCTAGCATAAAATGGTGCTTAAGTAACAGGAGCCTCAGTGACTTTGGCAAAAAAGATGACTCAGCGAGATAAACAGTATTTACCAGAAAAGCTTACTTTCACACAGTCTTGGTGAACCTAATCAGTTTTTACCAGGTTGGTCAGAGGAATATACACACATTTATTCACTCAAATAAGGGAGGACAGGATATGAAGAAAGGTATCTGTGTATTTTTCAAAAGGTTTTAGCAGAAACCGTCATCTCAAGTTGCAGTAAGAAAATATCTGGAGTATAAATATCTGAAATAAGCTGTGTGGCACCAGCTTAGAACTGGCACAATCAGCAGAAAGTGAAAGTCTGACTTCTGATTTTGCATCTGGGGGGGGGAGAAAAATGCAACTCTTCCAGCCTTATTCTTAGTATCTCCTTAAGCTGCACGCTTCATATGCAAATAAAAGCACTCTCATAATTTTTTTAAATCCAAAATAATTTTCAAGTTAAACTCATGGGAAGAAGTATGTACTCTGACCAGTCACGCTTCCTTACTACTACCATATCACCCATTCTCAGAACCACTCAAAATTATCCATGCTAGATTGCTTCTTATAGGAGAAAGGATAAATTGGAGAAACAAGCAAACGATATTATAAGGGTATCAGAAGGGATGAAAGCCTATTATTTTCTACAAAGCAACTCCCACTCGAAGGACTAAGCCTCTTCAGCAGTAGGTTATATGGCCAACAGCCGACTGTATAACCCACAGAGGTTCACCAGAAGATGGGACACTTAAGCTTGTAGTGTAGGACTGCTGAAAACTGGTCCCTGACACCTTGTCTAAACCCATTTTACAGTACGTGCAAGGAGATGAAGTGTTTCAATTTCTCCATACATTTCCTCTCCTTGCATAAAGATTGCATCTTTGAGTCTCCTAACATAAATATGCCAAGTGTTTGCTTCAGCACGTTTGCAAGATGAGACAAACAGTGGATTTTGTTGTTGTTGTTATGATCCACTTAACTACTCTTAAAATCAGTATTCCACACTGCTCTAAAGCTAGATGAGTCCTCAGTAAGTACTCAATAGACATACTAACAGTAGCACAGTCAAAGGGTTTCATGCTAACATTAGTTCCAACAACTGTCTCTGGAAGTATACTGGTTTTATTTTTAAAATTTTTTTTTTTTTGAAGTCACAATTTTCTGTAATTCTCCTGAACATAACACAAAGCCTCTAAACATCAATATTTAGCATATTGCCTCTGAAAAAGTGAGAGATGCTACAGTGAATGCCAGCAGAGAAGAACTGCTCAGCTTTCCAGGACAGCCACTCCTCCAGGAGTTAAAATTCAAAGTTCATCCCAAGAAATATTCCCCCAAATTTCAGAACAGTAAGTCTATCTCCTACTAAGCTCTTCAGTCCCTCTGTACGATGGGGGAAGACCTACCCAACATGAAGTCAAAATTGATTGTACAGGTGTTCAAAACATGAGGCAGGGGCAAGACGCTTCCTTATTTGAAAGCAACGTTCATTATAGACACCCAGAAAATGACAGCTGAATCCCCAGAGAGCACGTCATGCCTGCTACGCCCTGATCACATTATCAGCGTTCCTTACGTTAAAGGCTGGGGCCTGTATTTTATTGTCTGCACCTTTATTTCTCTTTCAAGAAAAGTTTAAATTCTGCAATCAATAGAGTGGCTGCTTTTGCAGGTATTTAGGGGAAAACCAGGGGCATTCCCCAACATACTGAGGTAATGCTACTCTTACAGCCTTCCAAGCAGCATTTCCTGCCTAGCAGCTGGTCCCCTTTAATAAATCTAAGCACGAGCTAATAATACGTTCTTTGAGTAATAGATGCAACCACACTCTCCAACTCTGCATACTCAAGGCACGTAACTCAGTATTAAATAGTAAGAGTCGCTGAAAATGGTTAAATTCCCTTTTCATACTGTAGTGCCAGGGGGTGGGGGGGGTGAGGGTGAATTACGGCTGTTCACACCAAGCTGACATCTGTGTCTTCTCAGCCTGCTGTTCTTCTAGCAGAATGAAAGACTGACATTATTTTCTTTTACATATTGCACATGCATTGCAACTTTATACTGCACGTTCTTTGTCGAATTTAGATAATTAGCAAACTTCAAAAGGGGATGGTAGCTCATCCCCTTTGAAGTTTCTAATCCATGCATTAGTTGCAAGTGTTCTACTATTTTTAGAGAAACAATTAATAATCTACATCTCCTTTAACTACTGAAAACCAACAATTTAATGCCTATCACATTATATAAACCTTTCAGAAATGAATGTGTTCGATAAAAAGCATGATTATTTTACAGTTTATTCCCAAGTTGCCATCCCAATATTCTTCTCATATTTGATACTTCAGTTAAAAAGGAATCACATATAAATATTATATTTATACATCTATATAAGTGATAACAACTTCAGCTATAAAAAGCTCAAAGACATGCTTTAATTTCATTCACAGAACTAAGAGAACTATAATGAAGCCTCTGCTGTTGCACACATGCTACAGGCATCATCACACAACTACATCTAAACTACTTAACAGATTATCTGCTTGTTGGAGTTACATCCAACAGCTATCAGTTCTGTTTCTCTAGACTTCAATTGGGTTCCCACTGCATGATAATTTGAGAAAAGAAAAAGAAAGAAAGAAAGAAAGAAAACAGCTTGTTGCTCAATCACGCTTACTCGAGATTCTGATCAAAACCACTGATCAGAACTGGACTAAAGCTAGATTGACAGCTGACAGAAAGAACAACATTACAGACTATCTAATTATGGACTGCGTATTCTGAAAAAATCTGCCTTCGTTTTAGTATCAGTGGACATCACAATGTTCTGGGAAAGGCTGTGGAAACTGTGATGAACCCAGACAAACTTAAACACAGACTAACAGAGGCAATTTTAAAAGAGAAACAGATAACAAAATGTAATCAGCACTGTGTTTTCTTTTTGCAAGGAAAAGATCAGATATCCATAAATTTCACTTGACTGGGTGGTTACCAGAAGAGTATCATGCATCAATCTCTATCCTTGTGTGTGTACACACACAGATACACACACACACACACACACGTTGTGGCAGGTTCTGCCAGAAACTGGAAGCTTTCGGTTATCCGAGTGTCATTTTCTGCTCTTCCCCATCTCCTCCCACAGAAAGACAAACAGCAGAATTTCCTGCCCGCCTCCCAGCCTCTTGAAGACGCTGGAACACCAATGTTAAAGTTTGCTATATTTGCAGGAGACCAGTACAGAGAATGTCTTGAATTTAAAAGGTGACAGCAGAGAAGACCCAGGACAACTGAAGGTCTGCAAAAATTATTAAGGGATAATTGTGATTAATGACTCCAAGGGATTCAGTTTGTAAAGAAACACAAGATCAGATCTTATCTACTGAGGCGTCACAGTTAACAAGGCTACTGAAATAAGGGGGACGGTTCTCAACTTTCTGAGCTACTGTTTGCACAAATGGAGGCACTAGTCAACTTACTCACAATCCATCAGTCTAACTCAACGCTCTCTTCACAGCTGTACCTTTCACTATTCGTCCAATTGCCTTACTTACCTCTCAGACATCAGTTAACATGCACGTTTGTTTCAGGTAATCTGAAGACACTGTGTTCAAATTCACTTAATGTTGATAGCCTTACTTCTGTTGATACAATAACCAAAAGCAGGGGGCAATACTCTGATAAACCTTTAATAGACTTGATTTGTATCTGCACTCCAAAACCAAACCTGAAACACTGATTAGTTTTGGATTACATTTAAGCAATTCCCATCTCACACCCTGGCCTCCCCCACCCACTTTTTTTTTTCTTTTTTCTTTTAACTCCCATTCCACTCCAGGATCATCCCAAAATATGAAGTATCTGCTTGCACTCAAACACCAAACAAGATAAACAACAGAGATACTGTGACTGCAAGAGCAGGGACATGAGGGAATTTTTCAAAACCCAGCGATGGCTGTTATGGAGCAGGGAGATAAGTCCATGATACTACCTAGAAGACAGCCAATGCATTCAATTTGCTACAGAGGAGCTTAGTCCTAATCAGTCCATGCAGGCTGAGTCACCAGCCAGCCTGTGTGTCGTGTCCTCCCCATCCTTGCTGAGAAGTAGAGACATAGAATGATTGATAGTTTCTTTTCCCAGGTGAATGTAAGAAAAATTATTTTGGAGCAGGAGACATCTGTTCAACATCAAAAAATACTCAAAGAGCAATACTTCCAATAGAGATCATTCAGATCAGCCCAGAGATCACCTGATGGCCACTGACTTTGTTCATTCAGAGACCCCTCTGCTGTGTGAACCACTGCAGAACTGATCTTTGGCACCGGATCACAGATCCGGAAAGAGATCTAGAGCACTGGACCACTTTCTGTCTTCAAGTGGCTGGAGCACAGAGCGCTCTTGCTCTGTTTCACTGTCAGATATCCCCACTTTTGCAGCTGAAGACTCCAGCAGCATCCGCTGCCTTGTCAGTTACAGCTCTTTTCCATCCATTAAAACAAAGTGCACTTGAAGCTCATAAGCCAAAAAAAAAAAAAAAAAGCCACTTTTGAAGCCCATCAACCAGAGGATTCTCTCTCAATGTTAGTTAGACTCTCTTCGTGCGCCACTTTGGTAAGTGAAGAAGAGAAGTCACAAAGGTAGGGGTAACCCCAAACGAATCTGTCCGATGGTACCTAGCATCCAGACAGGAAGACAAGAAGTGCTCCTGCTCCTGTGACAGATGGAGCAACCCACAGGAGCACCATAGTGATAACAGCAACAGAGGCCAACCCAGACAAGTTCGAAGAGGACAAACCTCTCACAACGCACCAGGAGAGCTTCAAGGCTGGGGGCAGGGTGGGAGGGTGCCACGCAGCTAAAACCATATCACATCCAAAAAACTACTTCTCCCAAAACACAGAAAGCACCTACTACAGCACTATATGTTGTGAAAAAACCCACAACCCAACATTTAACAACATGAGGATTAAATCAGCCAAAGCGGTGCAGGCAAGAAGAAAAACACCAGAACATTTCTTGTCACTGAATTTGTTAAGAGAAAACTCAAATGACAAAATGACTCAAGAGGGGTATGGAAAGCAAAAAACATTCAACTCTCACGCCCAAGAACAGGAATTTGTCAAGCAAGGTAGGCTGGCAGCAGTACAACTGGCAGGATGCTGGCATTTGGTCATTCTAACATGTCAAGTTAAGAAAACACCACACTGGATGCTGCAATATGAAGTGCCTGAATGATGAAACCACAGGCTCTCTGCCAAAAATAAAATAAAATGATAAATCTATTTTCAGTCCGGGAGCTACTCTGAGTTTACAGAACAGGTTGACCAGCCAAAAAAACATGGCAAAATGACAAAAAACAAGGCAGCAGGGCAAGCATTCTGCTACATGATGGGAATTATGATGGATTAGATTCAAAACAGGAGGAAGTTGGACATTCAAGTCAATATGCTATGATGAAAACCAAACTGAAAATACAACTTGGCATGACCAGCATATTCATGAAACAAAACCAACACAAAACATTTGCAGTAACCCTTCAGTAACCCTGGGGCATCACTTCCTCTGCCCATCTACTAGCATCCACTATGAACTAAATTTATTACACAGCAACATTTCACTTAACAGGAAGAAGAAATAAAGGACATTATCAGAAGGTGCTCTAACAGAGTTTCGGTCAAGAAAGGAGCTCGAAATAAGCTTTCTGAGCTTGAAACTACATTATGACGTCACATTAACTATACATACCAAGCTAAAATGAAGCTTGCATTAATATTTGTTTAAAGGCATATGTCTTCTACTCTTGTTTTTAAGGCCACGTTAATCAAAAAAAATCGCAATTTAAAAGGTGACACTGTTTATGCAAGTTACTCCATTTCCCTGATTCACAAAAGCAAAATCAAGGTAACAAAAGAATGAGATAACACAGTGACAAGAAAAGAAAGGAAACATTTCAGTAAGTGGACAAATGGTCATTCTCAGGGCTTTAGACACTTAACCGATCAAGTCTAACTTGCTAGAAAGAAGGATATTCTTTTCCAAACACAGAGTGGAAGAAATGCCATCCCAAGAATGTTTCCATTCCACTGCTGAACAGTCACCTGAACTACACCGTCCTCCTTTCCATTCTCTTCAGTTTAAGTCGTCAAGAGGCAGAAGAGAGGGAGAGGACAGGTGGTCGGAGGACATGGGAACCAAAGTCAGCAACGGACCCAGACTTAGTGCCCAGAGGAGACACAGCTTATACTTTGTCACGACAAAGCTTCCTCTTCACACAGAGCAGCTCAGAGGAAGAGAGGAGGGAGAGGTCAAAACAAGACACACTGAGCCAATCTAAAGATCACTGCTGCCCAAAGAGGTATCTTCTCCTCCATCCAAGAGTCTCACAGCCAAGTACTCCCACCAGACTGAAACTTATCTAAGCCCTCAGTAGCAATTCCAACTACTAACTTGCCAGAAAACCTGCAAATTTGGATTAGCAAGTTGCCTTAGCTCACCACGTGGTCAGACAAAACCAGAACACAAGTATGGGAAAGGACGCAACCGAAGCTAGGAACAGGAACTGCACTTTCAGTGGATTTTCAACACCAGAAAATTGTTAGGACAATTCAAATGGGATATGGTCACTTTCTCTCTTACACCCCCAAGTGCTGAGGTACAAGCTAAAAAATATCCAGCTACCACTTCGGCCTAGCCTAGGGAAGGAGGACAGGTGTCTTCTTCCCCTTCTTCCTGTGCTTCGTGCTTCCTATATGGTACAGTACAGGCATCAAGACTATTCCTTTTTCGTCAGATTGTTCTTTCTGCCTATCCTGCATGCGCCTCCCAGCACATTTTGACGATCACCATTGTTCTGGACAGAATACTAAGCACAAGCCTTCTCATACAGCATCCTTCATCCAAGTCACTTAACTCTGTCCTCCACTGTTCCATCACAACATAAGCTCCCTTCATTCTTTCTCTTACTTTAAGCAAAGACTTAAAATTCATGCCTCCAAAACAAAAACCACCACCTCCTCTACCATTTCCCCACCGGTATGCAATCACATCATGGAAATTCATTAATTGTTTTCAAACTACAGCAAAATTCCTGCCTCTGCAATTGCATCCTAGGGCCAGTATCTATCTGTGCAAGCAATCAATGCATTATCCAAACATCTATTACTGTACTGCTGTAGCAAGGAACAAAAATTATGTCAAACGCATATAAGTAAAATAATACAAAAAAATTTGCTTGTTAGAATTTTACAGTATCTGGTATGCGTAGTACTTACTTGGTGCACTCTTCTAAAGACTGTACAAGCATTTGCTGGAAAGAACTTATTTCTTCTAGGTTTCCCATCAAGTATAAAGTATTTGCAGAGTTTAACCTGGAGGCAAAGTAAGTAAAAGGTGTTTAAGTTTGCAGTTATTGACTAATTATACTTCAAAAAAACCTTACAGCCTTAAAATAAAATGCTTACAGGTTCTTAGATCAAGGACCAGACTGTTTTAGTCAGCAGGCAAACTGAATAAAAGCAAGCCCTGCCTCAACAATCTCACAGTCCACACAAGAAAATGCACATTGACCTTGAAACTTTGACCATGTAAACCCTCCCCAATACACAAGAGATCTCAAGCTTAATTTAAAAAACAAAACAAAACAAACTCACATACTTTTCACTGGCTTGTAAGGGTCGCAGGTAGTTTGAAAGCATTGTTTGTAGCTCCTTAGCGTATTCATTTTCTGTTTCTAATATATTTTGTAGCACCTACAATAAATGACAGCAGCTAATTAGTATTTTTTAAAAGATACGTCAAAATGTTCAAATCAATACCAGTTTTAAAGCATACTATAATTTATGTAGAACTAGGAAAACTTATATGAGTGTTCCTACATTAAAAATTTAAATATCAGCAAGAAAGCATTGAATACTATACATCTACAAAGTTCACAGAGAGGAAAAAACCACCACACACACGATGAGCCATCCTTTAGTCATGAAAAAAAAGTGGTAAGCTAACAGGAATTTCACTATACTTAAAAGTTTTACTGTAAAATTTGAGAGCTATACAGAGTGTTCTTTCAAAGCTAGGGGCAATTATTCCTCCTGGGTACTTCAGAACAGTCAAAGATCATCCGAGGTTGGTAAAGCACAACAGAAATTATAAGAGGAATGAACAATTAGTGTCGTCTTCTCAGTCTCAATTATGACACAACTAATCTTGCTAGCAAAGTGTTTACTTATTCAGATGCACTGTTCTATCTAGAAAGTCTGAATATTAACAGATTTATAAGTATCAAGTAATTGCCAACTGTACTAAGCAATATGATTAGCATTATTGCATTCTTTCCAAATGGGGCTGCCTAATCTTCCACTGGGAGTGCAATAATATATACCACCATGAGAAAATTATAACAGGTTCTGACGCAAAGCCAAGAATGCATAAAATACAGCATACACTTGTTTTTTGGCTGAATAAGTCAAACAACTGGAATATCTCCAAATATGTACAACAAAACCTTTTCTGGGGCCATCTCCCAGGAGCCTGCTTTAGGATATCCTCCAATATATTCACATTAAGTTCTACTGTGCTTCTAGCTGGGAAATTATTTTTTGCCTCCAAAAAGTTAACAATTTTGCAAGAGAACCATCAGAATTAAATGCAGTTCAATGAACACAATTGAGCTTTGAAAACTTTCTGCTATTCACCAGTTATAAGCTACACCACAAACCTTCTCATTTTGCTACATGCCATATTTGTCAAGCCTACAGTAATATCTCATTTCAGCATTTATAGTAACGCCTGTAATTGAGTGAATTATTCACTGTCGTAGTCAATACTCTTTCTTAGGAAATAAAAAAAGCCATTCATTCCTAAATGCAAACCTGATGAAATAACTTTAAATAGTTCAGTATGTCAATGAAGAATTCACTGTTCCTTTCATTGGTGTCATTGATTCTGCTTATTCCTTGAATGCTTCTATTCATTTGGAGAAAGGGAGAGAGACCACTTTTGAGTTCATTCTTTTGTTGGAAATCTGAATCCTGAACTGAAGATTAAAATGTCTCCATTCTCTGCTAAATGCTATGACAGAAGCACGTCACAGGGAAAGTTACAGCTACTAACTAGGAAACTACAGCATTAAGTACAATATGGGCATACAATTTTAAAGAAAGCTAAGGGTTTTTTTGACCACTTAGACTGGGGCAGGGGGGATTTCCATTGATATAGAACTAATTAAACCCCATATTCTCTTACACATATATAAAACAAAGGAAATAAATTGTTAAAATGGAAATATAAAAGTACTTGGGATTCATGAGGTTCAAAAATAAATGCAGGACCAAACTTTTCCCATATGGCTTTTCCTACAAAAGTCCCCCAGCCCAAAGTCATTACACAGTCACTATTGGGGAAAAGGAGGATGAAAGCCGAGGACAAAAACACAGTGTCCTGATGAAGCACTGAACAGCACATAAAAGACATTCAAAGATAAAAATCAACAAATTTGCTAGAGATCTTGAAAGTCTGCACCACTGTTCTACTTTCTCAAAGAGTATTTCCATTCTTTGCTATAACCAGCTGTCTGGAAAGCTTGAAATAAAACTAGTTTCATGTTGGACACAACTCCATTTTTCTCCTGTGCTGGTTTGGATCTTTACTTAAGGATGTTCTTTGCAGAATGGAGAATATGGGATTGGAGGAAAAACACTTAATGGAGGAAGAAAAAAAAGAATGGGAAAACTTACGAACTAGAAATAGCAACCTGACAAATTACTGGAAAAAGGCAAATAAATGCAACTGTAAATAAAACTACACTACAAAACCTATGCAGAGTACTAGATACACTTATACCGCTTTATGTTCTTCTCGTAGTTCACAGTGTTACACAATACTTTAGACATACACATAGTTTTATATACTTCCCAAAACACATTAAATCTATTTCCTTTTTTTTTTTTTACAATTAGTTTCCACTGCATACAACAGTCTTTTACTTTGAATATCTTTTAAAAAGATTAATCTTGCTTACATAGCTCTAAAACATCAGTTCTGTGCAGTCTCACATCCTTTCAGCTTGACTTACCTACCTCACCGAGAAGCTATGAGGATTAAATGCTTGGACTGTGCTTTGAAGCGATAAGTAGTCAGTATTGCAACTCAGTATTTTGGCACCAGAGCACCCTTACATTCCTCGTATCCGCACCTCGCCCGCATGCTCTAATAATCACCTTTCTTCCCTTTCCTGCTTTCTGCACGTTCTGGCTGCTGCAAGACCCCATGAGACCTCGAAGACCTTGTTTCCACAACTCCACCACAACATTTGCACAGATAAGACCGGGTACCAAAAGAGCAGCATTGAAGCGGCAGCTTTTGCAGCCCGTAACACTGATGAATGGCAGGCACAGACAACTGAGCTCATACAGCACAGGCTCTCTCAATCACATGGCATGGAAAATTCAAGCATGGGTAACAATTCTGTCACACAAAACCCCAGCCATCTCCCTAAGGCAAAAACTACCACCCAAAAATGGATTTAAAATGACCTACATGAAGCCGATCGCTTTCCAAATCAGAGGGAGAGAAGGCAGATTTCACAGCTACGCTTGTGCATGATCCTATAGCACATTCCCATTTTTAAGGGAGTAGTACGGCACACAACTGAAATATCATGTACTCCAGCAAAACGGTGATCAATGTTTAATTTTCCTGGATCATAACAATCTGAGAGACGAACCCCTTAAAACAGGCCCTCAAGAGGGGCAATGTAAAGCACCACGCAAGTATACCATATACGTCAAGGGTCCCCAAAACCTTTTATGAACTTCAGTAAACACAAACTCTTGACTCAACTTCAGAAGCGTGGCTTCAAAAGGAGCGCTTATTTTCCATCACTTCTCAAACACCAAAATGAAAAATGAGGTCATCCAAATACTCACACTATGGAGCAATTTGTCCATTTCTTTACCCGCTTTTAGAACACCTACTTAATCTCAAGGCAATTGTCCTGTAAGCAGAGATAACTCAATTTTATTTTGGACACAAAAGTTTTAAATTCTCAAGTGATCTCAAGTGAAAAACCAAACCAAACCAAACCAAAACAAAAACAAACCCCCTCAGAGTAACACCTGCTCTGTCTTCAGGGAACAACATGCAATAACATGCCCACTTCTTCAGTAATAGGTTACTAAATTACTTCTACATGAAAAATGTTTCATGCTTGATCATGAGTCTGGTTCATATTACACACTGCTGCAGACTTGTATCATTTCATGGAGCACAAGATCTTGTAGCACTAGTTTTTCCCTACTAACCTGCATTCCCGAGCCAGGCAAATGTAAGCATAAACCAAATGTGCGCTCTGTCTTCTCAGCAACACCTAGTGCAAGGTGCGGCTAATAAAGCACACAGACTAGAGGGAATGTGATTTGCGTTAGGAACTTCAGGTGGAGCTCTGTGAATCCATGAAAATAAAGATGATGTTTACAAGGGAGTGAAGAACAGAGGAAAGCAGTCTCCTCTTTACAGTAAGCACCTCCCTTAGCCTACCTCAGCCCTTCTCCCAGAAGGGAGATTACCAGAGCCTCTCCTACCACTTTCTGAACTTCCTCTGAACTGCCCTTTGATTTTGTCCTCAGTCCGACAAATGTACCCACAGGTGCTGCCTGCACCTGCGTAAATCCTTCCCCAGGAAAAACAGCAATAAGTAATCGTGAGGTTTACAGGGTCTCAGCACATACCCGCATGGTGGAAGGCAGCCGCAACTTAAAAACAGGAAACCGTCCCAGAGCACCAGCCTGAAATCATGCTGGGTTGTTGAGAGAGCCATTAACACAGATTTTAACACTTTAACTTGAGCTACATCCTTTTGGCTACCAGTTGCCAAAGGTTTATTTAGATCTGTTCTGTTTTTACCTTAGTATGGGCTCAATTTTGTTATCAGTACAGACTGATGACAAGAATTCTAGCACGGGGAAGTCCCATGTCTACAGCTAAGATGGAACAAAAACTCAACTCACAGGTTAAGCTGCTTTCAATTCAGTGAATGGGTTTGCTGTTTGTCTTATCTACATGTAGAAATCATTACGTATTTAATAAATTGTTAAAAATAATTATTTTATCGTTACATTGCCATCTTAAGCACTTAAGTCCTTTTCAAGAAAATCTAGATGCCAGCATGTCTAATTTAGGTTTTAAGCACAGCAGTAAAGGCTTACTTCTCTGAAACAAAGTGCACGCTACAGCACAGCCTCTCATTCTTTAAACAAAAAGAATAAAACGGTGAGCTTAAAAAAAAGTCGGGGTATTTGCCACACTGTGGAAAAACGTGAAAACAAGACAATTACCCAATTCACTGCAGACAGATTTAAGAACAGCACTGTCGGGCTAGTGCTCTAATTTACAATATATATGTATTATTATGAACTGGTCATTTCTGACCCCAACTCCCCCCACCCCACCTCCCCCCGCAATATGTCATCAATAGTTAATAAATAGCTAGCAGTTGAAAGACTTGGAATCTTACTACATCATTTTAGTGCACCAGGCAAGTTGCACCTGAGCAAGATGAAAAACAACCTAATTCCAAGAGTAGGTATGAGGGTCACTAGTTTCACCTTTTTTTTTTTTTTAACCTACTTTAAAAGCCGTCTATGGCTACCTGTTTCCCAAAGTATATGGTAGCTTGAGTCTCCATGATTATGCTAATAAGTTATCCAGGGAACAATTATAAAAAGCACACAAGCCAAAGGTGATAGTTCAAAACTGTATGGCCTTTTATAACTTAGCTGCCTCAACTATGGTTTTAGGCAAACTCAAACATTTACTTTCTATTGTTTTCATTGAAGTACACTATCACTCCCAAAAATGGCCTGTATTACTCTTACAAAGTAAAATATGCAACCACAAGATTCAGTTTGGTTTGGACACAGTGAAACTGGAGTCTTAGTTAAGCCCAAATTAAACAGCTGCAACTCTTACTTTTCATCACATTAAGATCTATCAGGAAAATAATAATTTAAGATTATACATGAGGCATGTATTTACTACTGATTTTAAAAAAAAACCCAACACAACAAAACAACAAACAACAAACCACCACCCCAAAACACTCAACTCAAATCCAAAACCAACTCAAATCTAAAGGACTGGTGTTCAAGACAGCTGACAATTTATTTTGATTAAAAATCCAACATAGACACAGATTAAACTGAAGTAAGAGCAGACTTCTACCTAGTGAAGGAACCAAATCCTCTCCTTTGCCGCATTCACTTGAGTTTACTTGTATTGAGAAACACAGGTTTTAACTCCAAAACAGTAGAGAAGACATATTTGCTACCATACACTACAGCAACTTTGAAAAAAAAAAATTACTATTAAGAGATATAATGAAAAACAAAAATAAAAAGGAAAGCCATCTGATATTTTGTTGTTGGATGTATGGCAGCGAGATTGTTACTTCCCGCAGCTTGAAGGAAGTAACACAGGCACTTTCCATCATGACTAACAGGTGTGAGACGCAATAGCCAAAGAATTGCAGCCCTCCCTTTACCATGGAATTACAGCTACCAACGAAAGCACCAAGCATGCCCGGGGGGGACAGGAGCTTGCTTCATTGTTTTCAGTTAGGGGCTACAGGCAAACCAGCTCTGTTCTTCCAGGTGGGTTTGTGTTATTCAAGCCACAACAGCCAACAATGAAAGCATAAAACGATGCTTTATGATCCCTACTAAAAACTGACAACTGAAATGAAAAACAATGACACCTGCTTCAAAGAAAAGGGACAGAAACATTGTGTTTTGGTTTTACACCAGCAGGGAGCAGTGGTAAACAGTAAGATGCTTTTTGCTTCCCAATGTATCTACTGTTAGTAAATAAAGGATTCTGGAAATGGTTACAACAACACGTTTAAAGACAGAGTTTGATATATTTCTTACACGTATCTACTAAAGAGGTCTGAGCACTAGGTTAAGAATTCCTGGGGGTCTGTTAAAGGCTGACTCTGGCTGTACCGCTTTTGCTGTGAAATCTAGCCATCAATGCAAGGGAGACGCTCCTGAATTTAATAATTGATTTTATTTATAGGCATGAATACTAAGGAGGCAAATTCTTTCAACATGTTCAATCTCTTGTTTAACAAAAAGGACAAAAATATTCTCAACCATTTTAACACAGCAGAATTTCATTAATTCATAGAGATTGGGGAAGATTGGTTGCATATTTGAGGGACGGAGGAGAAAAGGGAAATTAACTAGCAAAGCAAATAAAATGAGCATAATATATTACATAAATTTTATTATTCACTTCAGACTATAATTTCGCATCATGCTTAAGAATCTGTATGTGTGATATTCTATTAAACTAATAATGATCTTGTTTATATGAGAATTCACTAAAACCACTATCTAGTTTTGGCACCAAGGCTCCGACAAGACTGCCAAATTTTTAGTGTAGATAAGAGCATTTAGTCATAGCAAATGACGTCCTACTGTATATAACAGCTCACATGGAGGAAAAGGGATCACTCACCACATTGTAATAGCTTTTGTTAATCGCAGATGTATCAAAGCCTTTAGGTGGACTCTTCAATGTACCTGATTTGGGGGAGACCGGTTTTTCTGAAACGTAAGATATTTTTGGGTCAATGGGGTGCAATTTCACAGCTCAACACTAGAGGTCAAACAAACCACTCCGAAATACTTAACATACAGTGAAAATAGCGCTTCACTGAGAAACATACATACTTATGCTTGAAATTATAGGTAAAGAATCAAAATGGTTTATATGTGCACAACGAATAAAACTCTAGCCTCAGTAAAGGCAAGTAGAAAAACTCCCACTCTTTTTCCTGGAACCAGAAAGTCAGTTAATAAAATTAGCTTTCCAAAATTATATTTTAAAAGCAAAATATTATCACAGACTGCAATTAAAAAAAAAACAAACCACAAACAACAATAACATCAGGCATTTGCAAACACTACATTCACCTTCAAACAAAAGTAGTATTAAGTTTTAATATCAATTTAATTAACTTGGTAAAAGCAAGTGACCCAATCAAAGGCTGAATAAACCAGAGGTGGGACATTACACTCAGTCTGGCTGAAATAGGGAATCAAAACACTATACAAGTAGTGGCATGACTTACCAGATGCCTATCCCAGAAAATCATCTTTTAAAATGAATTATCTTTTACTGTTAACGAAGTAAAAAATAAAAATGCTTATGCACTTGAGAACAGAGTCCATCATAACAATAAATACAATCCCTCCTACAATCCCATAGCGACTCTACCCCTCAGTAACACATACTCTTCCTGGAAGGACAACTAAGTCTGGAAGATCAAAACAACAGCCCTGAGAGTTACCCAAGTGCTGACTCCCAGAAAGCAGAGGCACAGAAAACACAGCCCTAAAGCCTCCCCTCCCAACTCTACCATTCCTCCAAGTCAATCACAGAGGAGCAAAGATGAAGAGAGAGACAATCAAAAGCATCATGCTGCGTGCTGGAGAAACAGCAAGTGAGATTTACAGCATCTCTTTTTGTCCTCTCATACTTGACTTTGCACACTACCAACTGAGAATGCTTGTGAGATTGCATTTATCAGGACATTATGGTGTTTTGGTTTGGGTTTGTTTGGGGTTTTTTGGATTTTTTTTGTAAATAAGCAGGCCTGTCTAATACGCAAATTTCAAATAAGCACTTGAGTAATTTGTATCCAAACAATAAAATGGCAAATTGTCAAAACCAAACAAAACAAAGTCAACAAAACATACCCACTGAAAGTTTTTACTTTTATTTCAAGAGCAGGCTCTTTTTTCAAACACATTTTAATAAAGACATACGAATAATTTAACTACAGGTTACCCAATACCTCAGGCCACTAAGAATAAATTATAAAAGTCTCAAATACAGACCAGCCTTTGCAGGAGAAGCCCAGTCAGCCAAGCTAAGGGCTAGCTATGGGAAATTCCCATGGACAGTAAAGCTGACCAGGGAAACACCACCAAAAGCAGAACAGCTCATGGGGTACCAGCCCCTGCTGGACCGTGTCCTGGGTAATTTGGTGCTTCTTCAGGCTACCCAGCTGCAGCCCCGTGGACACTGCAGTCTCAGATGAGCTAACTACAGCTGGAGGCCACCCTTCCGTCTCCAGTGCCAGGAGCACCCGGCAGACCGGTGGGACCTGAAGCTTTAGCTAACAGTCTGTAAGGAGCAGCTCCGGCCCCAAGAGCACACAAGTGGTATTATCTTTAATGGGATTTCCTCTGTATTGCACTGGAACTCCCTTCGAAGAAGCTATTCTAAAAATAAAATATGGTCTTAAAACAGCCAAACATGGGCGAAAACATTTCTCCTTACCATGTTCAGAGACGACAGTAAAATCCTCTTGGTTAGTACCCTGCTCCCCCCTCCCCAAGTCAGCTACAAGCCAGCAGACAGCACAAAAACTGTTAGTCCCAGCAGTCATTCAGCTGGGAATGCTGATGCTCTCAGCCACCAGCCCTGCAGTTAAGTACATGCTCTGCTATACAGCCAAGTAATTCCAAATGACAGTACTCTTCCCATCGCCTCAGAACAAAACCATATACCCAAGCAGATTTGTCATCAAACATGAAGTGTGAAAGAAATACCTAAAGTCATGTTGTGTGCAGCTACTCATTTATGTATTCATACGTAATGCTACTCATTTATGGAACAATTACAACGTGCTGCTTTGTACTGAATGATGAAAATGCCGTAGTTTACGCAAACTTGGTATTTTGCTTTCATTCTCTGTGGAAGCTCTTGACTTATCCTACAATTTATAGTGACTTTCAGGTTCACTAAATACCTAAAGGTTTATTAATCATGGGCTAAAAAGCATGAAAGGAGAAGCCAGAGTTATTTAAGGAAACAGGTAAATACCTGTCACTGAATTTTATCATAATACAGATATCTGATCCTTGTTAATCCAAAGAAAGTTAGCTGATCATAGATATCTGGCTCTTCTTCGAGCTACTTTGTTATCTTAAAGGGTGTAAAACTACATCTCTTCCCCTAACATTTTCTTCTCCTAAGCTGATGAAGAAAGCAAGATATTTTTTTTTGCTGAAATATACAGTCATTTATATTACCAGCTGTTCAGCTGATTCAATTATCCAGAGAAACACAATCAAATTCAGATTTAAAAACAGGACACACAAAAGAATCACACATTCAAATCATTTTGCCTGAACAGCCATAATCAACATTCAGCTTTTAAAAATGCACAGGCCATTTCTATTGTAGAAACACAGAATTAGACACAGCAAATCAGTCCAGCTGTCTATCACGTCTGGTATTCTGCCTCCAAGCACTGCCTTGCTTCATAACGAGAAATAAGAAACAGTCTTGTTGCAATTAGTTTATTGCACAATGCATTATACAGAAGAAAATCCTGATTTTGCACATAAGAAATCCCTTTCTTACATAAAAAAAGATAAGCGTTACTTATCATCCTTCACGATAGAACATTAAGAGTATTTTTGCAAACATATAGCATAATTCATTAAACATTTCAAGCAGGTGTCGCCCCCATTCAGCTTACTAGGAACATATACAGGTCTTACAGGTCCATAGGGCTATGAAGTCCATAGGTTTCTGAAACAGCAGCAAAACCCTGACACCTTGCCCACTCTGACATATAAGCTCTGTTTCTCAAAGTCCTAGAAGAGAGCAATCCCAGACAGTTGCCAAGTTTTCCCATACAGAAGATTCTTCCCTTCTCCCTATGTTTCTGCCAGTCACAACGTGAATCCTTTACATTAACACTGAAAACACAACGAAAACATACACAGCAAATTATCAAATCCAAAGCAAACAAGCACCTGCTCAAGTACAGGGAGACTGTACCCAGCTGGTGACTGAAACCAAGAGGTAAGCTACCACTACCAGTTTCTTTCCTGATCAAACCATTACATTCAACTGCACTCAGCTACACTTAATAATGCTTTGAAGTGACTAGTGATAAACCAGACAGAACTCACTTAACAGATCATCTTTGGGTAGAGAGTGAGGTTAACACAGGCTTCTTAACACTGCTCTTCAAGCAAGTAATTATTCTCAGTATATCCAAAACAACACAGAGCAGCTGCTCCTGTAACCTTTCCTTAAGTGGTACATAAGATGCCACAAACTCTCTAAAATTAAGTTATCTTATCCTTTACAAACATTTACCTGAGTGACTCTAAAAGGACAATTTACCCAATCCTTCACAATGTTTTCTTTCATTCTATTTGCATTTACATGGAGGTATTTCTTTTACTTGCCTTAAAATTACTTGTCAGTCCCACATTCTCTCCTATCCCTCTCCTGTCATGTCTCCAGTTTATCTCGTATTTGGTTTCACATAACGGTCTACCTCACACTACTCCACAAAGCACTCCTTCAGGACATCCTTTACTACAGCATTTCAACCCTACTGCTGCAGGAACATCACCGTGCGTTTCGGCCATTACAAGGCTACGGGGCGTAATCTAGACTCAAAGCTCCAATTTGGGCTATTTCATCCTACAGCACCGGAGAAAACATGTGCCAAGTGGGACACCAAAAGCCATGCAGTCCCTATTAGTGAAGGGCTACAACCTAGCTCTGTCTCTCTAGACTAATCGGTTCAAGTCCAACACCAGAAAGGCAGACCTAAACTTGCTCTCAGTTCTCAAGCTGACTCAGGCATCGCTGCAACATGCTCCACTCTGTGGACATCACCAACACTTCTCCACTAGTAGTGTTCACTGGTCCCCAACCTCTATTCTATTTATGCCTGCAGAATAACGCTTAACAAGAGAACAAAGTACCCCTTCAAGTGTACATGGTTGGGGAGAGCATTCTTGGTGGTTCCCCTTCCCCCCGGCTTCCTTCTTTTATTTCAAAGCTAAAAGTGTATCTGTCCTTCCTTCATGCACCGCAGGATGCGAACGGCAGATACTCTACTCTTCCCCTATACTCTGGCCTTTTCCCACACTGTTTTTCTGTTGTTGTTTTTGGGGTTTTGGTTGTTGTTTTTTTTTAACATCCAACCAGAACAACCACTAATACTGTAATTTGCAGTGAGTCCAATACTAACATAACTATCAAGAAAGGATAACAGAAGAGAGGCTAGGACAGTAATGACACATTAATTTCTGTGAAGAATTAGAATACAGTTTGTGACATACCAAATGTAATTTTTCAAAGCTATATTCCCTTCTGCATAATCTCATGCCATTTAAATGGATTACACTTTGATAAAACCCAGCAAGTGACCATGTGATTTTTTTAAAATCTGATTAACATCTGACAGTAGCTAAGCAAGTGCATCTCATTCCAGCTAACTATTCTTTTCATCACAGGGGAACTCTCAAAACTAAGTCTCCAAATCTCTTTACCGTGACAGACAGAAGCAGCAGTGTAAGAGACAAGACTCCACCTACACCTTCACCCCTTCCTGCTCTGTTTTATACAAAAAAACCCACCAAAGCTCAGTAAGGCCACACTGTCAAATATCTAACAAGTTTGCACAGTATAAATCTTTTACCCTCTGTCATGTCTAACAGTATGGCAGGACAAAAATAAAGTCCTTTCTTTTCAAAGTACTTCCTGGCTAGTGATCAAAGAACATCAAAATAAGGCAAGATGTTACAGGATTTTAAAAAAGGAAATTAAAACATGCACACAGGGAGGGAGGGAGAGAGAAATCTACCATCTTTTTGATCCTTACAGTGTAGGCACATACCTGAAAAAAACCTACTACTACATTTTTTAATTCTGTTTGTTCGCAAGTACCACAATCACAAACAAATCCTCATTTTCCTCTTGAGTTGGGGGGTGAGGGAGGAAAGAACAAAGACATACTCAAAAGCAAAATAAAAACCATTTTCTATCTCAACCAAATTTATTTCCCAAAAAATACAGAGTCACTGTCCAGCACAAGAAAACTAAATGCTGTGCATTGCTCAATAATCTCAGTATCTGTCCTACAAGCATTCATAGCTCGCTTCATACATGTATGAGCATTCAGTGCTAACACTCATCATTCTGGCACAGCTAAGCAAACAAGTTTACTACAATGTAGTAAACACGGGCATGGCTTTTTTACATGGTAAGGTGAGAGACCTTATGTTACACACTCTGCTTGTGCAATAAATGTCCTTTACTTTTCTTCTAAAATCTTTAAGCAAGCAGTGTGGGTAAAGGTAGTTCTCATTACTAAGCAGCTCTTTCTTCCTTTCCTTGAATATCTAACTTCAGAGCAACTGTACAAGCCAAGATTACAAATACACAGTTATCTGACATTAGAGAATTTTAATTTAGAACAAAAATCCATTTATCTAAACATTTACTGCCTACGAATTTTGTGAGAATCAAAACACACACACACATGCGTAAAGAATTTCTTTCCTTTCTTCTGTCACCCAGTTTGCCAAAGTCATGTTCCAGCAGACTGAAGGGATTTACTTAATCAAAGCCACCTTTTCCCAGGAGCTCTCCTAATAACACATCATCAAAAATGCTAACAGTGTTGCCTGTACAGAATTTCTAATTAGTGGCAGTATTTTCAGGTATTTGAGAGAAGAAAGAAGGGTGGAGTCACACTGTTGATGCCAGAACATTTTACAGAGTGTTTTGAAAACCAATTAGATGTCCAGGATGAACATCTTGCTTATAAAGAGACCTTAATCAACAGCAAGCATTTCAACAATCCTATCCTGATCTTTTTTAAATCCATTTATTGCAACACTAACAGAAAGCACATCTTGAATTTGAGTCTGCAAGACAGCAAGCTCTACTAACTTGTTTTAAAATACATCAGGGGGGAAAAAAAAGCACTTTTATGTACCAACCACATGCTTTAAACCATGCAGGCACTTAAAATATTTCTGAATTAGGAAAACATTAGAGAGGTATATATAGTTGACAGAAGTCCAGAAAAATGGACAGTGAAAGACTTATCAACTCAAGCAGTGTCTACCAGTCTAACGAAGACAAGCAAAAAAAAAAGCAGGGGCACAGGAGTGCAACAGGGACTGTCAACCCATCTGTATAACCTAGATGAAACTTCTCACAAACACCAACCAGAGCCATTCATGTAACTCCAGACCTTTGTAGTAAACAGCACTACGTTCTTGTTTCAACAAGGACAGCGGAACAAAGGAAGTCCAACCTCAGGACCCGGTGGTAACGTGCTTTGATACAGAAGGGAGGAGAATTACACAAGAGTCCTCTCTCTAGCACCTTCAACAATACCCACAAAGAAGAAATCAGTTGAGAATAGAAATGTTCGTAACAATTTTCATGGAAACAACCAAAAAAGGGAATTAAAAAAAAAAAAAGGCAGCAAAATGAGAACAATGAAATTCAAGTAAGAAGAATACAGTAAACTTAATATGGGTAAAAAAAAAAGAAAAAGGATTCCCACTAGTGACGATTTAAGGAGAAAAGGCTCACAAGAATGACAAGTCCTTTAAAAATTAGGGGCATCTCGAAGAACAGGAAAAGTAGATGCAAATTGACATGATCAAATATCACCAATGCTACAGTGACCTCAAACACACAAAAAGCGGCAAAAGTAACGAGAAAAAAAAATCAGGTCACCAGTTGAAATACAACTAATGTGGCCACAAGGGTAGTAGCAACAAAACGTTCTGTAGCTTACAGACATCAAGGGGGAAAGCTGATCTGCAACTCAATAGAGAAGAAGAGTTATTAACAGACATCAAGAAGCTCTTAGTCTGTCACGCTTCCTTCTACCACCCCCCCATCCTCATTATAAAAAGGTCAACTTCAGACAATTCATACACATACCTATGAGGCATAAAAGCAGGTTAAAACTAGTTATTTTGATAAATTAAACAGCACCTGCTGTGCTGATTAGGCAGTAAGAGAACTAGCTACATTCACGTTTGAAACCACAGAGGACGTGAAGTTCCATAAAGTACTGGAAAAGGCCAAACATCAGGATTGTCTTTAAAAAGGAGCAGGAAAACAGAGAAAGCTAGCGAGCTAGCTAGGTCAGTCTTCTTAACTTTGTAATAGTCAGTAAATGCACAGAAAACAAAGCAATGAACTCAACTTCCTGAGAAAGGGAGCAGCACGGGCACATATTCCCTTCCATGGAAGCAACTGAGCATACGAGAGAGTGCTCCAAGAATGCAAGAAGCCTTGCAGAAGCCAGAAGGAGCCAGGCCTTGTAACACAGGGAACATGCCTGTACAGCGGAGGGGAAAGAAAAGCTTAGCAGAAAACTTTTCTGATGGTGAGAAGTGAAAGTTATATCAGGAAGGGAACTGGAAGCAGTTCATCCCAGACACCAGGAATTGGACAGGGTTGCAAGGACTGGCAAGAATCAAACAGGACTGGATGCTAACCTTGCTCCCACAGCTTGTCGGCTTTCCTATTCAGGAAAGTTACTTCACCCAAGCGAAGTATTCTTAAAAAAAAAAAAATCCAAACACCTTAATTTCAGTTGCTGGCAAATTTTGGTTCTCCTATGTTCACTGTTAAAAGCTGCTTCTGTTCTGCAGCCTAACTGCTGACCCACGTTCCAGTCTCAGGAGCCAGAAGAGATCAAAATTGATGAAATACAGACAAGACCTCTGCAGCAACGTTTTAAATGAATAACGAAGGGACAAGAGAGTCATCACGGCTGAAAGTGACTGCTACAACGCTACAGACAAGAAAAAACAGGCTTCAGGAATTGCTTTTCAGGATAAGCCCCATCTGAGAGATCTCTGAAGAACATTAAAGCTAAGTCTTGCACCGTGACTATGCTTAAGAGGATCTAGCTGAAAGTGACAACCAAGTTACAGACCTAACATTCTGCAAAAACAGACTGTAGATAGCAAATCGAGGAAGAAAATAAGAGGCTGCAACCAGAAGAGAAAGAATGAGTTTTAAAATGGAGTTTTGCCCTCACAACTTCACTTTGCAATCATGCATCTGCATGGCTGCCTAGGAAATAAAAAAGTAATTTTAGCTTGGCACAAAAGATGTGTGTTTTCCCTTGTCACAGCTCAAATGAAAGAGTGATAAAGCCTCTCAGAGAGTCCCTGGGTAGTTTTATCCTACCAGGTTTATCCCTAATCTCTGAGAGTAAGCAGAGACAGGAAAAAGACAAAAAAAAAAAAAAAAAAAGGAGATTATGTCACCCATGTCAAGGTCCTAATGGATTAAAAAGTGATGTTAGTTCTGATATTCAGTCATAAAGATGATGTTTACATAAGGCACTTTCACTGTACAAAGTTCAAAATAAAACCAGTGGAAGAGTGAAGCCTGTATAAAGAAAAGTTGAAGGCATATGAACAATAAAGAAAAAGAAAAGTCACAAATACATTATCTTTCAAAAGCTGTCTCTAACTTCTAGTAGATTTTGGTAGAACTAGGGATTTTTCCTGTGGTTGTTTCGTTCCAAGTAATGGGACATGTTTAGAGATTTTCTTCATGTAGTTTTTTTGGTTGGTTTGCTTTTGTTGTTTTTAAAGGGATTTGCAGGAAATCTCTCACTATTTAAACCCAAAGCACCAATTCAAAGTATGTCAGCATCAGAGCCAAAATCCAGCACTCTAGGAATTCAGACTGAGGAAGTCAGAGCAGCCCAACTATGACAGAGACAGACAGACAAGCAAACAGAATGGGGGAGTTTTCTGGATGTTTACTGTTAGTTCAAAGTCCTGGAGCATTCTAGATAGTGAGCTAGGGTGCAGGAATATGAGTTCCTGAGCATTAATGATTGCTGTGAATGAAATTCAGTTATTACAGTCAAGCTTAAGCAAAAAGCATTACAATTTTTAATTAATCAGCTGACTATCAACCTCTACCCAAAGTAAGAATTTGTGCAAATATGCTCTCCTTCAAAACTCACCATTTGATTTTATTTCTCGTACGTAGTTACTTGGAAACCACCCTGTTTTGCCATTTAGAGTTCCTTCCCACCAGCCTCCTTCTTCTACTCTTGTAACGTGAATAATATCTCCTTTTGAAAAAGAAAGTTCATCTTCATTTGTCTGTTGAAAATTAAATTTTGCTCTCACCACCAACTGATGGTTGCTGTTATCTGTCATGTCCTAGTAAGTGAGAATACAAAGAACAGAAAGATCACATTAGAGATTTAAACAATTATTCCATGAACAAAACAGGAGTATCCATAAATTGGAAAGAGCCTCTCCTCCACACACAACACTCCCCACATGCTTTTACTCTAAGCATTTGTAAGGGATGATTTGCCATTTGCCATATTTCTGTCATTTTTAATCTACGGATTTGTATCAGTGTAGTGTCTCATTAGAGCTCCTTCAAATCAGAGCTAAAATGAGAATAATTCTTACTCCTCACAAAAAAAAAAAAAATCAAATTATATTTTTCTATATAGAGTATAAATTGAAACTGCCTTTGGCAACTACAAAGAAACAACAGCTTTATGTTAGAGAGTTTTTTTCTAAAACTTTCCAGGCTGGCAGGAGAGCGGAACTGAGTTGTGTTTAATTTATTTCTGGAATATAAATAAAGGGTCTGCAGCTTAATTTTTTTTTTTTTTTCCTGTAACAGATCAGGTTGGAAGGTTCCACACCTGAATGCACAAGTCTCCATGGCCTTCCAGTGGAGAAGGACAGCGTTCTTCCACAAAACCTATGAAACAGGCAATTTACCTTGAATAAATACTCACAAATCATTTGCCTCAAGGTTAACAAAGATGCTGCAGACTTGCAGCTCCCCGTATGTGTGTATATACGCACACACACACACACACACACTCATCCCCCATCACAGATGTGAACACAGGTTGTTGCTCTATTGCGACAACTAAACGTTAATAGCTATTTCTAAGAAGTCTTTCAAATCAATGATGTTCAAATTCAGCATTTTTTTCTTGGGTGTCAGTTTTGAATATCTGCATCATTCGAGCGTTTCATGAGAGTTAAGACAAACTTTCATGCTAAAAAAAGTTAAATACTTGGGCCGCTTTAAATAATCCAGATAAAATCCATTACACTGGAACTGAGAGAACAGGACTATAAATCACGTCCATCTCTATCATAAGTAAGGATTAATACCTGTATAACTAAGAAAGTAACTTAGTAAGAAAATGACTGTGTAAGCAATCCTAGTCAGCTATCCAGGTAGCAGAATTTCACCCACATGTTGTCTACATAGTTGAGACGATTAAAACATGTACTGCATAATGGCACTGGGAACTTACAACGTCAGCATAATTCACATCCACAGCAATCACGTCATTGTATCACAACTCAATTTAACAATCAGACTTTTGGTGGCTGAGAAACTGTACAAAAATGAGGGCAAACAACTTCGAAAACACGCAGAAAGTCCCAAGATACTTTAAGTCACAATTTTCACCAATTAGATCAGCACATTTCAAACAAGTGCTTCTGCCTTAGTCCTCTGCTTGTACACCACGTGATGTCATCCACTATGACTGCTCCACAAGAAAAAAAAAGTTTTGCCTTTGTAAATAGTAAAAAGCCACAAAATAAACAGCAACATTGCACAGTGACATCAGTTCCTTCACACTGCCAGGACGGCTCTCCAGTAGAGGAAACAGTACAAATTCGGTGAGAACAGTTCCAAACTGATCATCTACAGCAGCAACTCCAAACTAAGAATCTCCCGGGTTCGGCCAGTAGCTTCCTCCCCCACCTTCTTGCATTTCTCTGCCCCTTTGCCACTTTCTGCAGAGCTGCTCCGATCACAAGTGATAGAAATACTTAAAACTCTGATTACTTCAGTGATCCAGCTAACAGCTAGTTCCACAAACAGTTGCATCAGCAAAACTGAGTGGGTTGTGAACAGCAGAGTGGGAGCTGGAATGAATGTCCTAGGGCAAGAACTTGCACGGGTTCTGCTGCCAGAGAAAACACATCAAACCACACCTAGGAGAACTTAAGCAGAGTACTGTGTTTCAAGTTTCACATCGTAATCATCACATAGTTCAAAACAGCCTCCTTCAAGCATGGAAAAAGTAGTTTACCATAGGAATCTGAACCCTCCTTGCAAACCTTTTAGTCACTAAAAGCACCTTTTGTCACAGTTAGTTTCAATACAGTACTCCATCCTGATTTCAGCCGTACTGTAAAACAACTGCCCATACCACTCAGTCACCTGAAAACTAGTTGAAGGATTCACCTTGAAACATAACAGAAAACAGGAACAACTACCAATACTGTCAACATTAAAAGCACCACCCTTGCTGAAGTTTGAATATCCTTCAACCATCCCTAAACTGAGAGACACGGAGAAAAATAAGATTTTTGCATTCGGAAAAGCAAGTCCCTACACTGAAAATAAATAAATAAATCCGGGAAGATACTGTGTATGCAGACAACATGGAGTGGTAAGTGAGGAAAAAAGATAATTAGAAGTTCACAGAAAGCTGCATTTATTTTGGAACACAGTAAGAAAAGTTGCAAACTGCAATGTCACAGCCTTGAAATACAGAGGTGCTACACTATTGCTTACTTACAAATCTCATCCAAAAGAAAAAAAGAAAGAATTATCACACCGCAGCATGCTTCATTTCTTCTAGAACTTACCAAACTCCGATACTGTCCCTGAAAGAGTTTTGAAGTTCTACTGTGTAAAGACTGGGATCCCAGAGAATCAAAAGATTTTATCCGATGAGATGAGGGACGTGCGCATACAGAGTCACTGCCCAGCCCTATGTCTGTAGGAGGGAGAAAAAAAAAAGTAAATATTAGAATTTGAGAAATCTGCATGTAACCTCTGCTTACCTCTAAAAAAAAGCAGATTTGATGTATCTGCAGCTGCTCAACAACTCAAGATAAAATAATTGTAGTAATAAATAATCTGAAACCCTGAGACTCTGAACGTTTTTTCCCCACACAGACAGGAAAACAATTTGAGCTGTTTAGGAAGAGGAGGGTTAGAGTTGTATTTCTCCATTCCTACTCACCACCAGTCTATTTAAAGGTAATTAACCAGCATCATTTTAGCTAGTAGCCAAGAATTTCAAATGCATAAAACTTGCTTGAAGTAAAGCCAGCCACATCTGTTTCTCAGCTCTTCCCCCCTCCCCACTACCATCTCCTCCTCAATTAAAACATTCCTTCCACTGTCTTTTTTTCCTACGTTCCTTTGTCTCATCCCTTTTTTGCCAACTAAGCTATTTCTTCTTCTTTGGAGGGAGGGGGAGGGACAGGAGGAGTAGAAAAGAAGCAAGCTGCTTGCTCAAAAATACCAACACCCTCCCAAAACCTCTCCCCTCCCCTTCATTTGTCTCTACTCTGAGAAGCACACCCATTTGAGACGTTCATCTGAGGGGTACCGTTACGTACTGTCACGGTCCCCGTGGGCTGGGAGGCATCAAGGGAGAGTCAGGGCAAGGCTCGTCCCACCGCCCCAGCCAGGAGCTGGGCAGGCTGGGGCACCAGGGCAGCCCCAGGCCTGGACAGCAGGCACCTCCCTGGGGATGGGATGTCAGCCCACCCACGGGTGGGGTGTCCTCACGCGGATTAGCAGGCCACAGCCAGAGAGGGGTCAGGCTGCGCTGAAAGTGGCTCCTAAGGGGTCAATACTGGCCACAGCCTCCCGCGGCGCTGCTAGGAGCCTCTCCCCAGCATTTTGGTGGGATGGGGGTTGCGCCTGACCGCACCAGCTCCCCCAGTCCTCACAGCCAAACCCCCAGAGGGGGATGCTCGCAAGGGCCTTGCACAGGTGACGTGTTACAGCAGGCGAACGCTGCTCCTTTGCATGAGTATGGCAAGTCGTTCCTTTTCCTCGTGTTTTCCCACATACAAGGCAATCATTCAGTGGGCACCTGAGTTTCAAGGAGCCCTGAAAGTAATGCAGTATCTTCTGTCCCAACCTTAGAAGTATTCACTAGACTACAGAAGCCTCCCAACTGCTCTCCTGGGTTTTATGCCTCTGTTACTCCCTTTCCTAGTAGCTTGCTTTGCTTCCAGCACTTGACCTCCATATCAGAGGTACATGCGCACAACTACGGTCTCCTATTAGTTACTTTCAGACTAAAGCAGACCATGATTATGCAAATCCAAGTCATTTTTGGTCCAAGAAAAATGACACATACAGGCTCAGTTCCATGAGGAGACTGGTGAACAAGGCATATTTGCTGTTCCCATGTCAAACCTGAAGCGACAACTTGATTTATCTTAACTGGAAAACCTTTCAACTTCAGCACAGCATCCAACAGCAGCTGAGATGCAGGAGGAGGGACAGGTTTGAGATTGACAAGCACAGTTGACAAAGGATGCTCCAAGTCAGCAGTGACTGAGTGCAACACACCTTCCACAGGTGCATCTTTTCAAGCGAGTCATTGTTATCCTTCAAAAACCATTATCCTTCCCCAAAAACCCTATAAATATACACTTCCTAGTCAAATAGTGCAGTATTAGAACTACTCCTATTAAGTTGTGTATTTTGTAATGATAGTATCACTACACATTTGAGTCATAAAAGACCTCACACTTTGTGAGTTTGCTTTCCTAAAAACATTTAAAGGCCACTGTATTAAAATAAACACTGGTGATTATAGTCCATTACAGAAAGGACTTAAGATCGTTTTCACAGACTGCCAGGAGAGAAATGGGACTAGATCGTGGGCTTCATTTGTAAATCATAACTTTATGGCTAATTCTAATGTTTCCAAAAAACTCTGAAGTTGCCATAATCATCAGTAACTAACAGAACTGAAGGATTAAAAGTAACCTGAAACATCTCCATGTCCAGTTTGCTATGCTTCCTAACTGCAGTCAAGTACAAAAGCAGCCACGCCATCAAATCTTACACTATACCTTGACACAGTTCACCTCGGGAAAACAGGATCAGGTTGACTCATGGCAGTATGTTCCAGCCTCTGGGCAATCCTAAAACACACTACCTATAATTTGTATAAGTGTGGCCCGATTCCTGAAATTTTCTATTTTGCAACAACAGAGCTAATACACCAATGCAAGAGCACTTTTGAAGCCTGAATTACAAACTGCATGTGCTTGAGCTGAAAAGAAGGAAAGTTATTACAAACGAACCACATGCAAATTGCAAGTATTTTTACCAATACTTGAATACTTCCAAAGCAATTTGAACTTTTGATAAATTTAAAAGGCTTGCAGACCCCATGTATCTACACTAAAGTTTCCATTAAAATACTGAATAGATATGTTTAAGGAATTTCTCAATGCCATTATTGCCAGGAAAAAAAAAATTAAACTCTGCTGCTAAAAACTCAAAGAATCTTGAACTGAAATAGAATGTGCATGTTTGACAAATATTAATTTGGTAATTTTATCAGAAGCTTCACTCTTCCATCCCAAAGGTTTCCACGGTTTGTAACACCCTTTCTTCTTCTCTGCTGCTATCTCAGCTTCCCTATACCAGTTCCTCTCCCCTTATCTGTCTACAAACAGCAACTGGTACCCTGATCCCACCCCTCCTGAAGTTAAGAATTTGATGGAGCAATAGTAGTCTTTCATCAGCCTTCATGCTCATTACTCACACTCCTTCCATTGCAGAAAGGCCCATCTCAGAAGAACCTGTGTATACCTGAAATTCTTGCAGACCCAGCTGGGGACCTGAAAGCCATCTTCCCATACTAGAGTAGGGAGATAGAGCCTAAAATGCCTTCTACATAGTCATCCAATTAAAAAAAAACTGTCTGGAAGAACAGTCGGTCAGTAACATTCCTGCAACTCTGCTTGCTCCTAGGAAGAGGCAACACCACAGTTTGCACGTGTTTTTTTTGGTTTCGGCTCCCATGCCACCCCCCGCAATGAAAGGGATCAGGCTGGGTCCTCTCTAAGCCAGCTGCAATAGTGGCTTTTTCATGCGAGTATTAATCTATTGACGTCTGGACCAAACAGCAGCACTTTTGCTCCCCTTTAAAGACAGCTATGGTCAGTGTACAGCAGCTTTAACGATGTACTAAAATGGCCTACATCTGCACTTGTAGTTAAGATCAAAGGCAGTACCTTCAACTGGTGCAAGAAGCTTCAAAGAAGTCAATGGTATTACTCCATGCCCATTCATTAGAATTAAGAATTTGGTTGTAAACCTCACTCCTAAGGGGTGTTTTCTGATGCAAAGGAAAAAAAAAAAGCCCCCCCTCCTGCAAATCTCTATTGTAATGGAACCAGAGGAGTATCATACAAGTGACAAGATACCATCTTAAACAAACAACACTAATCCCCCGCTGACTTTTCTATAAGCTTCCTTTTCCTCCTCACATAAAAATTGACAAGTATGGTCCATTTTTAAATCACCTCTCTCACACCAGACTCTAATCTGACAACCATTACTGGAACTTGGGGCTGAGAGTGTAAAGTCCCAGCAAGGAGCAGCAAGAAGCCAAAAAGAGCGACTAATCAAAACATTTCTTGATTGTCCTTGGGTCCAGTTGGCAAGGTTTAGCACAGCCTCACCCTACAGTGAGAAACAGACACCTCTCACCTGTGTGCTGTTTCTACGGCTCTCTCCTTCCCACCAAAAAACTTGAGGTGGGTAGTTCGTGACTTCTAGCTGCTACTTCAACAAAACATGCACGGCTTCAGGGATTAAAGATGTTTGCTATCCTTTTGTTACTGTCAAGAAAGGATGGTGCTGGGGAATGGACAGTGCGAAAGAAATGACAAAGACCTTGACAAAACTGCTCAAACATGGGAATGATGGGAGTGCAGCAAAAGTCAACTTTAGTATTTCAAACTGGGGAAAAAAATAAAACCAAGAAAAACCAGGCCCTTTTTTCTAAAAATTCCCACCAGCGAAAAGGCTCAGCCTTAGCTCCACTGAAAAGCTTCCTTCTGCCGAAGAGGAGACTGGAGACCCCAGAGAGGCCACTGCCAAAGTCTTAACAATGTGAACTTCAACAAAAACTCTTCCAAAACGCTGTACATGTTCATTTATAGCAACAGGCATAAATATACACTGATGTGAGTTGAAGGTAAGTGTGAGTACCAAGACAAAGCTGAGTCTACTTACCTGCAGTCACCTTATTTAAAGCCACGAGAGAGCTGAGAACTTTGCTGAAATTCTGTCCCTGATACAGGTCATTTGCATCAAAAGTCTGAAAACAAAAGAACATGCAGTAAGTCATAGAAACAAGCCTTTCCTATGCTATCATGCAAACCATGACTGTAGAAGCTATTGCCTGATCAAGGTATCAGTCTTTCAGTGGATGCTATGGACCAGTAAAACTGCGGGGTTCCCCCCTCCTTTTTTTTTTTTTTAAATCTGATTTTAAAAGAAAAATAAACAAACCTCATTTTTAAAAAAATCAAGAGAATATAGAAACAGCTGCATTTGAGAAAAACTGAAGAACATAAGCTAAAACTATCAAGTGTCATTTAAACTACAGGAATAAAACATAATTATCAGTAGAGAGAAGCTTTCCTTAGACATTTCGGACAGAAAAAGTTACTGGGTACCATTACTCTTGGCATACTCTTCTTTTTCTGTAGCAGCTCACTGACACTGTACCTTATTATTCATAAAGTACTTCTAAAGTTACTACAAATACTTTAAAAAGTACTACAACAACATATGTACTATCTCTTTATTCTACAAGACACAGAGGAAAGCAGCTTTCCTGAAAGTTAATGAATTTTACAAAGTGAAGTTGCTGGATAGGTTAGATGGAGAATGAGGTTTGAGAAGGGGAGGGATGGAAGCTGAGGGTTATTTTATTTTTGTTTGGTTTCTTTCTTTTTTTTTTTTTAACTGTGGAAAAGAGATCCAAACCTCAAACTTTCTTGTAGAAAACACTCCAATAACTTTCAAACGCTGGGTGATGACATTAAACATCTGGATTTTCAGGAGGAAAAGAAGAGATTAATATTAAAAAAAAAAAAAAAAAAGAAGAGACCCATAATATTCGCCTGAGGTAATGGAAACACTCATCCAAAGTCTCATGAAAATAGCTCTCACAATAAGATTCTGCATAGGTTGAAAGGAGTCACAGTATTCCCTTGTGTAAGACTAGAAAGAAGACAATAAAAGACAGCTATTACAGTTGTTCCAACTGATTTAAAAAACAGAAAGAGATTTAGTTTCCCTGCAGTGCAGCAGTTTTTATCTAGTAAGTCAACAAAAACCTGTTTATTTTCCTGATAACAGACCCATCCCACAGGCACTATCAGAAAGTCTGTACCCCAGAAAGCAGCCTTCAGAGGCAGAAGAGGAAAAACCTACATTCCCAGGGGAGAAGAGAAAAAGGGACAAAGGAAGGCTAGCTGAACCCAAGAGAAGAGAAAATTTTCATGAAAGCTACCTAAAGTAACCACAGAAGGGGCTGCCAGACCAGTTGTGACTGGTTATGTGATATACTGACAAAGACAGAGCAGATTTGGGAAACATTTAATGACAGCATTATTCAGTGAGGAAAAAAAAAAAAAAATCTCCCAAAGCATTCACAGTATTTCAGGCACTTGTATATGTTAACACGCACATTTTTCCCCTCAGACAGATGATCACCTCTGGTCCAAGAGTGCAGCAGTTCTACCTTGGCTGCACAGGTGCTGACATCTCTCAAGCTCAGGTCATGTGTGTAGAGCTCAGAAGAGCAATGCCACAAAACAGATACAGAACCAAGCAGTCAGAGGCAAATATTAATACACTCCAAGCAGCTACCACTCACAAAATAAGTCAAACAACTATTCCATCAAGTTTCACTGACGTACAGATAATTTAAAGACTACTGTTATTTATTTAAAGCTGTAAGGAGAAGGATCAGGGAATTGCCTAGATGTGAATTTTGTAGGGTTTTTACTGAAACCTGAGGAAGTATTTAAAGACTATGTACACAAAAAAGACATTAAGCAAGTAAGAAGTAATCCCATTTTACAAAAAGAATAGATATGCTAGATGCTATTAATAGCACAATTTACGAAAAACACAGATGAGAAAAGACACCAGTAAGATGACAGCAGAATACATAAAACCTGGCATAGACACAAAACCAGACTGGAGATCAGCCTAACAACTGCTCCAATCGGGTAAATTACGCTGTTACGCAATAAGAAAGCATCAGGAGCGTAACATTTTCATTGTTAGCTACATATATAGTGTAGTAGTTTTTAAACAAGCAAACTAAAAGTATGAACAGAATCACAAAACAATGGCCCTGATCCTAAAAAAAAAAGCAATACATGAGACTCAGGCATTTGTGCGAACACCAGAACTAGATCAGAAAGGTTCTACAGGGGAGAGAGAGAGAGAACTATTAAAAGAAGGAATGTTCAAGAAAAAGGTTATAAACTACAGCTTAAACTTAGAAAAACTTTCAAAAAAAAATCCTAAATTCATTTCAGGCTCACCTTCATTGTGGATTCCGAGAGAGACATGAGCTCTCTGAAGTCAGGCTAACTGGAGAACAACAGGATGCGAGGAAGCCTCGTTTCCTGCTATGCTGGAACTATAGGGGATACCAAGAACGATTTGATTGGATCATCCCAACACGTATAGTGCCATAAAAAAAGCCTGTATCCAGGACACACATCCAGTCTGCTACTTCACAGGAAACACCACAATGGGAGGATACGAGGAACATTTGCTTCCTTGTGATTTTACATAAAGCAATTCTGACAGGAAGCCACCCTCAGCATGCTCAGGGCCAGCATGTTCATTAGCAGCATTTGATAAAGGGGAAGGGGACATGACATCCTCCAGAGAGGATTTTCTCCTAACATAACAAATGTTTAAGAATAAACTAACCCAGAGAGATTAAAAGTGAGGAAAAAAAGCTTAGATACTTTAAAGTTTTGAGGCTAATTTGTTACGAACTACTTGATTATAAAAATCCTTGTTTCAAAAATCCAAACTAAAAAAAAAACACAACCCACACAAACCCACGCAACAGGAAAACCCACCAAACACTCACACCCTTCTTCTATCTTAGTGGAGCTTTGCTCATTTCACAATATATTTGAAAGCCCTGACATGAGTAAAACCATGCTTTAAGAGGACCTTCCATGGGATCGCCAGAGGAAGTAAGTCTGCTCCAGATTTTCAACAGAAGTCCAACTTGCATGTGGACTACGATCTTCACTCTGGTATTTACAAACAGATCAGCTGTGAGGACTGACTCTTTAAAACACTGTATCTTGATGTGAGAAAGTCATTCAGTAACTTCGCTATTGAGTGTCACTGGAGGACAAACACCACCCCTATACCACACCCCCAACTCCGTGACCGCAAGAATCAAAGCTGAATTTTGAGATCCAAGTATCAGGCAAAGTTATTTCTGTATTGCAAACTATTACCAAATAGCATGGTCTGCATGGTAAGTTATCTTCTGCAATACTAGCATAACCCACTTTTCAAATCATGTCAGAAGCACAATTTTAATTCAAGCTTGCACATGCTTACAGCTCTTAAAAACTAAAAATGCAGAGACTTAGATAACACCCGAGATTTGTCTTTTAAACGTTATGTGACAGGCATATACAGACAGGAAACAAGTCTTTATCGAAAAATATTTCCAATGTGTCATTGCTTTCCAGGCAAACAACATTTTTAACCTCACAGAGACTCCACCTGTGATGAAGTTCACCCTCTTGTTCATCTATTCCTTACCTTCCCCCAAGACAGTCAGATAAAACATTAGCCAGGATGCAAGCACAAAACTGTCATAAATCACATCAGACGATAACCTAGCCAAGTCAAATCTTTCGAACAAACTATTTAAATAATACACATTTGTTTTTAAATTCCACAGAAATGACCACATGCAGATATACCTTATACAAGCATTAACATGAAGTACACCTATTAAACGCAGACCAGGACTATATTAGGAACCTTACACTGGAAACACTTCGTGATTTATAAATAGTTAGCTGGGAATCAATGAACTTCCAAGCTTAACAGGCTCATCCCTGTATGCCTCTTATTATCTGCCTGTTTAACATCTTTCTCACATTCTTGTGTTCTCTCCTGGACTTCAACATTTGACACATCACTATCCCAGGCAGATACTGTACTCTAGAAGCAGACCAGACCAAACTGCCTAATAACAAGGGGTCTTATGTGATCTGTAACACCACACATGCACTCAAGAGCATGATGGCCCTTTTGGTCATAGGACACTGACTGCCAAAGCCTGCTGATTGCCTACCCTGACCCACAGATTCTGGAGTCCCTTTCCACAACCCCAAATATACAAGCCTGGCTTTCCATAACTACGCCTGCATTTTTTGCCCCTAGGATCTCAACTGACTGCAAACTTTACTGACGTCAATTTTATGACCTCTTCCCGGTCATTAATGAAATATTAAATAACATGGTTGCATACCAGTGGCAGCAAATGTCCTATAGCAAGGTGTGCATTGGATGGCCATTCCACATTTGCAATTGTGTTAAAGCCTATTAATAAGCCAGTTTTTAAATTCATTTCATATGAGCCATATTGATTTTTCCATCACTGACACTTCTTAAAATACCAAACAAAACGCCTTGGAGATCCATTTCATCCATATTCTGCTTGTTCAAGAACCGAATCCATCCTCTCTTTTTAAAAACAAGACTGACCTCTGCCTGCATCTGTTTAAACTCCATCACATTCTAGATGGCCATGGTAATACATTCAGGTAATTTTAAGTTGTCTAAACCACTAATCCTCAGTGGATAGAGACTTCTGTTCAAACAGTGTTTATGATCTAATAGCAATAAGGAAATAAAACTAACATAACAATGCTCATCCCTGACACCCCTGCAACAACCAGTACCTACCGAAATCGGAAAAACATTCATCGAGGAATTAATGAAAGGAAAAGGAAAGTAGAAAATAAGGATGAGAATGTACCTGGTGAGAGCAGACTAAGGCATACAGTAAGCCGGCAGCAGCACTCTTTTCTTCCAGTCAGTTTCAAGGCCTCAGGTACCCTTTATACTATTTTATTCCCCCCTTCTAGCCCATTAAGTCACAAGCCAGTTACGAGGAAGTATTTTTAAATTAAGGTATCTCTCTGGAGACAGGAAAAAATTGGGGGTGGTTCAGCCCAGCTTCCAGACACACACTTTTTCTTCTAACAATCTTAACTTACTTGTATCCTTAAACCACCAGAGCATCACTAAGGCTGTATCAAGCAGTCATAGTAAGAAAAGTTCATATACTGGTTAAGAGTAAAATAAAAAGGGTTTTCTTAATATTTCCTTGCTAGACTAGTGCCTTGAACATACACAGGTACAGTACTCCCAGAGGATATTAACATTTTAAGCATCTGTCTGACAAAAATGCGATAGCTTTCTTTACAACACTGCACCATAAACTGCAGCAGCTGAGGAGCTGATTTACGAGCAGCCTAGATATCTGTGCAGCCCAGCTAGGGCTGCCGCTGCTAACCTCGCCAGCCAGCCCCAAAACAAGCTGTAACCCCTAGGCTGTGTGTACTAAGCTGGCAGGACACTTCCCAGCTCAGTTTGGTGGCCTCGGGCCCCTAGTGCAAAAGATGACGAGAACATTGGCTCGCTCACCTGGAGGAAACGAAAGGAAATGAGCAGGGCGGCTTGGCAAAGTGCAGCACGGCCACGGACAACGTGTCGCTCCACCTGTTCCTAGTGCACAGGCTGCAGCGTTTTTGGCCACAGAGGCATGAATAAACAAGCGGTAGGGAAAAAAAAAAAAAAGGCAACTCATGGTTAGAAATGGGTGACCTTGAAAAACACTAAGAATCTCCTACACCTTGCTTCTCTGTGCCACCACCCTGAGCGTACTTCTACCCCTAGAGCAGCCGGCTAGGGGAAGCCACAGAGGCCATCACTGTCCACCTAATACGCCCAAGCTGGAAAAAAGATCCTGTAGGTAAGCCTACATGCGAAGCACAAACTTCTTCATTTATTCTCGCATTAGGTCAGCTCTAAGTGGTGCTGAGTCTCATTCAGCGATTATGCAGCAGCTGTTCCTCGAGCTGTGTATTATCATCTGAAAGCTGCGGCAGTAAAAGGAGAGATAAGAAAAGCAGGGAACTATGACAACTGAGAGAGGAAGGGAAGGCGGGGAGAAGATGAGAGGATTACAAATGTTCTGGAAATCTCTGTGAAGCATACCGTTGCCCAAATGTAGTAATGCACAGCACAAGGAGAGCTAAATAAAAAAACCTGAATTGTTTCAAAAATTAAGAGTAAGGCAAGGGGAAAAGTTTGACAATAATTGGGAGAACAGATCTGCAGTGAAGGATTTCTGTGCTTCGGTAACAATTCACAAGCGAAATTAAAACACAGTGGTAAAAAATATATAAAACTTAAGGGGAAACCAGAATAAATTTTACTGCTCATATAAACCTGTTCCTCAAAAGTAAAAACTTAAATCGTACTAAAACCACTAAATCCCCTAGAAAGCCTTAAATTCCTACAATTAGTAATACTTTTAAGACCTAACATTACCTACAAAAGCAGGCAGAACCAGCAAAAAAACTGTACATGGAAGTCTGTAGTGTCTGTATGCACATCTGTGTGTACGTGTGCACCCAGGTAAGATCTATGACACAAACCTGAAAAGTACAAAGGTTAAAATAAACCCTTGGTTTAGAGTCCCGAAGATGTACTGGAGCTTTCCAGCTCCAACAATTTTCTGCCCAAACCAGCTGCATTAAAGCATGATTCTGCAGAGCATTCATTTCAAATACTACATAACATTTTACCTAAGCCACTGCTTTAAAGTCAACATTTAAACATTGCTAAAACTAAATATATACAAATAATTTTTCACCGACCCCAGCAAAAACGGCATGAAGAGAAAATCCACACAAAAATCTACACCAAGTTGCTTTTTGGAGGTGAACTGTCAATTTCTGGAGCTTTCAAAAATTGGTCTGTTTTAGAACGTGACACAGCAAATTAGTACCCTCAAATTAATTCTTCAGCAAGAATGTCATAGAATTTGGTATTTTTAACCATAAACTACTTCGAGTAGCAGCAAACCAAGATGTAATTTAAAAAATAGAAGAGTTAGGACTGCCTACATTTGTATAAGCACGTAAGAAAACATGAACCTGCTCCACTTCTACCTGCACAGCAAAACACAAACAACATCTATCACACCTTCATCCTAAAATCACTTTCAAATTGCTTTGTAGGTTTTGAATCTTACAGATGACACCACACAGTGATAACCTCAGCTGCTTCTGACAGGCAGACATTCAGCGGCACACAGTATTAATACATGATTGAGTACTAAGGCTTAAGGAAGCTCACACTCCTGGAACTAGAAGCAAAAATAAAAGTTGTTGGAATAAAATTACTAAAGATAAAATTTCTTTGGGACACTGAAGCTGAGATGCTTCGTGACTTGCCACACAACAGGTTACAGCTACTTGCTTAGCTGAAACAAAGCAATTGCAAAATCA